ATCAGTCGCCGGCTTCTGGACGGCCGCTCACTGCGGCTCTGGCCGCTCACGCTGGCTGCTGGCTACACACGGTAGCCCATGGCAACCCACTGCAGCAGGGGCTGCAGCCTACTCCGTTGCTGGTGATTCACAGCTGCCCAGCTCCAGGTTGAGCTGTTGTTCAGCATCTTAGCTGTGGAGGGCAGTGTCACTGGCCCTCATACGTGGGATCCGAACCAGGGCCCTCTGGCATCCCAAGCCAGTTCTTAACCATCGCGCCACTTGGCTGGCCCAAGTGCAGTTTTAAGTTCACAAAAAAAGTAGGATGGGTACTGAGTCTTCCCATAATCCCCCCATCCCGATACAAGCAGAGCTTCCCATGATCAACATCACTCACCACAATGGTACATTTGCTACTGAGGATGAGTCTACATTGATGCATCAGAATCACTTCAAATCCGTAGTTTATGTGAAGCTTCACCCTGGGTGTTATAGAATTATTTTTAAACCTATATTTTTACTAATTTTAAAAATATATACCCAAGTACATGTTATATGTCTCTTAAGCTTTTGCTCTTTATTAAAATAAATCATGTATTTTTATGTCAAGAGCTGTTATTTCTAAGTGAATACAGTGAATAATTCCATTTATATTTTCAAATTAGTTCATTTGTCCTAGCCCTCGAATGTTGAAAATGAAGATTCAACAACACAGGCTGGCATATTCTATGAGTCATACAGGAGTTAATAGACAAAGAGGAGGGCAAATTTGGTTTAAAGAACTATTAAGTTTTTGTAGGGGAGATAGCTACAAATAGGAGATAAACAAATTATAAAGAATACCGTAGGGTTGAGGAAGAGTACTCAAAAGTGAAATGACTTGGGAGCCAGGTCTACTCCCCCAGGATGGGTTTTAGGCTTCACTGAACACAGTGCGGCTGCAGACAACTTGATGGCAGACATGTTTGCTGGGTTGCCCTGGGATAGAGCAGCTCCACAGTCCTCTCTGGCTGTTATTGGTGAGGACGG